AGGGTAGGTGTCTTCATACCCATGCTGAACAAAATGGGAGAAAAAACAACAGAAAGACAGTAGCCAGTGCATGCCTCCCGCAGCTTGTGCACAACTGAACACTATTTTTTGTGAGACCTCCTTATTATGGGCATGATACTGACCCCAATCGTCAGTTGGGGACGGGCCCTTTTCCTCTCCCCGTGGCTCCAAATAACAGTTGAGCCAGCCTCCAGTCCAGATACTCAAAGGGCAGCCCATTCTGTTACTTATGCTTACTTTAAACTGTAAATATAAAAGAATGAGTGAGTTATGGGTCCCCGGTTAGCTCAAGTCGGTAGAGCTGGCGACCCATTGTACGGGAGTTGCTGCAGAGGCCCCCCAGGGGTTCGAATCTGACCTGTGTCATCCCTCTCTCCTCGCCCCCCCCTTTCCTGTCTGTCTTCAGCCTTCAATATCCAATAAAAGGCAATAAAAAAAGAATGAGTGAGTTATAAAAAATGTACGCTCCTGTACAGTCATATGGGAAATTAGCAATAGAGACCAAAATAGTTTTTTGTCCGAAACATGCTTGTTTCCTGCTGTAAAGTTGTGCATTTTAATATGGGGCCTTATGATGATGGACTCACATTCCTATTACTGTGGGATACCAGAGCAAAAAATGGGTGGGACTTATTTAAAAAAATGGGACGCCAGCAAAGTTTCAGAACAAGTTCAAAAATTGATGGCTGGTCCATTTGCAGAGCATGCTAAAATAAAGTAAATTACATTACTAGACTATTTGTGAATTAATTAAAAAAATATCATGTGTTACCAAGAATCCAAATAAATTCATCCGAAACTAAGCAGCTTGTAGAGAAGACTTCAAGGCAGAATCAGGAGCCTGGGGTAACACCCAGCGCTGTACTGAAGAACCTAAACTTCCCCTCTACTTTGATTAACTACCAGTATTCCATCCCGTAATTTTTTTTTTTTGAATCCCAATAAAAAAACTTAATAATAATTCAGGAATTCCTTAAATGTTACTGCTAAAAGTAGAATTTTCTCCCCCAACTGTTGTAAATGTCATCCTCAAAGTGTGTTGTGATACTTATATCATGTAGATGATATCATAAGTTCATGTGAAGTTAAGGATAATGTAAAGTTGTAACCAACAAGTGTTGTTAGTCTGCTCTCAGATACCTCCGGTCTCTAGTATCCCCCATTGGTTGCCTGAACATATAAGCGCCTTCAGCTCACAAGATATATCATTAATAAAAGGCCAAAAAGTCACTTGTAGTTTTTACACCCAGCTGTTACTCAATACACAGTGCATTTGCGGGGGAATATTTTCAAGTGGTGGATTAATACACAACAACGACAGAAACAACTCATCAAACGTAACTGAAAACACGATTGAACGAGTCCTTCTTCAACACACATATTTGTTCTCCTTCATAGTAAAACCTAACGCCTGAATAATGCCTGTTCAATGGCATTGTTGTTCCCTCAATACAGACACTCAGTTCACTGGCCATGGAGCACACAAATGTGCTATGAATGTGATTTACATCTTAAACCGAGTATATGAGTTTAGATCTCACAACCAACCACGACATAACCAGATCATACACCGAAAGAACTTGACAGATACAACCTGATAAGGCTGTCCTTTGTCCGTATAGTACAGGAATGGTATGTGACCGGCTGAGACAGCTGCTCCGGTGTTTACCAAATCCTGGTCACCTTGTGAAAAACAGTACCAAGACACTTTAATGGTCCTGTTTAAGATAATCTTTGTAATAACTCTGTAATAAGTAATGTGTCTAAAGGCTGTGATTATTTGCATGAATTCAGGTGAGGAAAGAGGACGAGAAGAAGATGACCTTGATGGCCCCAACCAGGAAAGAGAGCAGCTGAGGATGATGATGACGAAGAGGTGATGAGAGTGGTGAAAGGAAACATGCTTTCATGTGTGAGAAAGAGTAGGCAGCTAACAAGAACAGTGGTGAAACAGATGCCTCACCACCAAAAATAATTTAAAAGATGCATTAGTCATCTAGTCATATAATGCGAAACAACGCAGTATTTACGCCCCACTGGAAAATAAGACCGAACCAATCAACTATCTTCTTGCTCTTAAATGGTTGTATTCGAGGAATTCTTGAAAAATGCCATTAAGGATCTGAAAATCCTCCCAAATAAGGATTAATTGCTCAGTAGAAAGTCACACCCAACTTGTTTTGGCGACTACTTTCTCCCCAGAATCTTTAGAAGAGGAAGGGGAGGTTACGAAATCGTCCCTAGTAGTTGGCTAAAAACCCCCTGGTGTCAAGAGTGGGCCCTTTTTAAGAAAGGGGTTTAATTACAGCGTACTTTTAAATAGGACTGTGGTACATATGCCTGATAATAAGGAAAAGAATTAATCATATCTAGTAAAGAAGTGCCAATGAAAGGGTACAAACTTCTTTAAGCAGCCTAGTTCGGGATTGGATCTAACAGACAGGTTGATGGCTTCCGATGAAAAATAATTGAAGTTAACTGGTGAAGATCGATAACCGGAAAACATTCCTAAATATATATCCCCTAAGTTTACTTAGTTAAAGTTCCGAACTTGAGAGCCACTGAAATAACCTGTTGATGGCAGTTGGTGCATAATTTTATCTTAATAGTAATAATTTTATTATAAGAGAAGCTCATAAAAAGTCATTGGCTATTAAAGTTTAATGGGGGGGGATACTTGTGGCTCAAATAGAAGCTGTGACTCCCTCCTGTCAGCCTGGCTACAGTGCTGAAGAGGACCAAGGGTTATTCTTATTTCTTTTATTAGTGCTGAGTAATAGGCTCCCCTCCTGCGTTAACGGAGGGCCCTTTCTATACGGTTTTCAAATCTGCCAGATTGAAAGTGATTCCCGATAATCCTGGAAGAACACCATGTTCCCTTCAGATTTCTAGGCTTTTTGCTTTAATTGGCGGAGTTTAGTCGTCGTAACAAAGGCGGTGCTAGTTCCCTAATGTTTTAATATTTTCTCTATAGGCGGACCAGAATCCTATGTTGATCGCCAGACCTGCAGCCCACTATCAACAAGAATGATCAATTTGGGAGGGACTAAAGTTAATATAAGACCACTGGCATGAATTAAACATTGATGAAAATCTCCTTAGAGTTTAGCTACATGCACTGTCAGATAGACATCTGCTGTAGGCCCCCAAGTTTTGCCTAATGGCTTTATAATCTAAATACGGCTGTTTAAAATTGATTGATTAGCTGATAAATTAGCCTGACGGCCCAAGCCATCGTAATCAATACCCACCATCCAGACCAACCTAGAATTGTACATATAGAATCTGAAATGTCAGGCTAAGAGCCCTCCCACCCGTTACTCCTCCTCCTCCTCTTCTCCCACGTCCTCCTCGTCCTCCTCTACCTCGTTCTCCTGCTCACCATTCTCCTCGTCCTGCCAGGGTGAGACCATTATATTGGTCACTGGGAGACAGACATGGATGATTCATGTTCTACAAGCTGAAGGAGGAACAAGAGGAGCTGTTCTTACAGTTTTGCCATTGGCAGCAGCATCCTCTCCGTTCTCTGTCTCTTCAGCCTGTTTCTTCTCCTTCAGCTCCTGAAAGCAAACACATTCTTAGGCCCACATTATGTCCAGTTTTATGAATGATGAATATACACAAGTTCAAAGAAAACTCAAACTCTGTCTTTTTGTTTTCAGATAAACTTATGAGTGTGAAAGGTCAACATTTAGGTTTCTGCATCTATACAGGCCGATGAAAGATATATCAGTAACGGGACGTATATGTTTTCTTTCTTTTTTATTGCCTTTAATGGATAGGGTCGAGAGGAGAGGGAGAGGGAGGAGAGAAGGGGAATGACGAGAGAGAGGATGGAGAAGAGGAGGGGGGGGGGGATGAACCAAGCAAAGCTGTGGCGTTGGGAGGGTCCAACCCATGGCCACTGCAACAAGGACCCATCCCTGGTAGTGGGAAAAAAAGTAGCCTAGGTGTGGTCTGGTTCTACCTCCAGTCCTAAGAGTTCATCACACTGGGCTTTGGACAAGTGTGTCCTGTTGAAAGTAAAGGGAAACTCTGCAAGTTGCCTTTTACAGACAGGGCCTCCCATTGGTCAATTCTTTCTAAGTCCCGCCCACCTTCTACTGCCTGGCTGAAACCTGACACTGTCTGTCACCGCTGCACTTTATTCAGAGCGGAGCCTGGTGGGGAAACTACCGACACACAAATACTACAACTCCCAGCAGCGCAGGAGCTTTATTCTCTGTCAGCTAATCGGAGCAGGTGCCAAAGCAAGCAAATATTTTTCTTACGACAAAACCCCTTAAACAGTACTGCTGGGCTTTACCTGAACAACACTATGTATCTCAATATGTTATACTGCATATTAGTATTGGGCAACCACTGTATTAATAGTGCATTAAGACATGCAACATGTTTCCAGGGCGTCTTTGTAGCTGTAACTGTGTTTTCTGTCCTCCGCCACTTTTATACTTTTAATACCACCTACACATACAGAAGAATCCACACACTTTCAACCTGTCTGCTTCTCATTCACAGTAGGCCACCATCATTCTAATTTAATTCAACTGCCTGTCACAATTTTCAGCAGCTCTGTTTGGGGCTGATATTTACTCCTTTCCAACAGACGTGTGAAATACACTGACTACTACAGTAGAGCATACAGTGCTCTTTTACACTCTCTTTTTCTATCTATCTGTGCCTGACTTATTGTCATCGTGCTCTCTTTTGCAAAGCAGTCTGTTTCCCTCGCGCCCTCCCGCCGCTTGCAGTCAAGCAGAGCGCTGCACGCGCTGCTCAGTGAGCCTGGCACGACCCTGTCCCCCACGTAACAGCCACTTTAAGTACATAGGCTCTATGGTGAGCCTATATAAATATAGATATAACCATAATACTTCCGACAACTCCATTCTTATATAGCGTATCAGCTGCAGCATTGTGTTTAAAGGAGACATAGCCTACGTCTCAGAAACACAACCGAAGGCATCAACAATAACCGCCTATATAGCTCACTCACCAGAAGCCCCAGGTACAAGAGGGACGGCAGAGTTCGAGAATCCTTATCAATAGGCTATTTAAAAAGAAAACAATAAAGATAAACGAGAACGAGGCTGGGAGGAGCGATACTCTAGCGACTGGTGATGATATACGGCAGCTAAATGAAAACAACACTAATACACAGAAGCAGAGATAAATAAAGTAAGATTATTGTTCAATCACGTCACCGATTGGAGTTAAAGCCTGGCGAGACTAAGCTGGATAGTGTAGTTATTAACCATGTATAGTCGACTATTTATACAGCCAACGTCGTTTCACTACTATACAGTCGTGTCGGATTGAAACAAAAACTGCTTCGGAATATCTAATTCGTATGCAATTTAAATTTAGTATCATCAATTCTGATATAAAACCAGTTCTGTAATGTCAGAAGTCACATCTTTACAATATGTCATATGTCGAAATCAAGCAAAGCAGAGCTCGCTGTTATTTTTTCATTACCCTACCCTATTAGTTGCTATTCCCACAGTCTTGCGTAGAAAAACTGAATGGTGGGTGCTAGTCAACAAATTATGAATTATTTCAATTCAACCGCTGCTTGGAGTAAAGGTGGTTCTCAATGGTTCGTAAACTCTATAAAGTAACAGTTAATAACTTATACCATATCGGCGAGGACTGCCCTCTAACGTCCACACAAAGCAACCTGGATGGAGACAACCCGTAAATCTAGTTTGTAAAATGACGGCTGCTATAATCTCTTTATGTTCGTGTAGATTAAACAAGGAAAGGGTATTGGTTTAAACCCACGCAGGGTTTCCTTTAAAACTGCTACTTTAAGCAGCCTGTCTTCACCCATTCACACAGCTGCCTACTTCACCAGAGTTAAACGCCAAAATGTAATACATTTATAAGCTAATTATACTGGATGCTATCGAACAACCAGATACTTATTATAAACACTGTACTTGAACAAATCAGTAACACATTTATGAATGTGCAGTGTCTCTATCTCTCCTCCGGTCGTCCTCACCTTGGCGCTCACTTCCCCGCTGCTCTCCACTTTACTGTCCGCCATGTTTGATATAGAAAATCAATAAATATCCAGTCAGAATGTTGCAAATTTTTTAAAAGTAGATGTAGGCTTTTATTCCGTATGGTTCAGAAGAGAACCGTTCTCCTGCCAGCGGTGTGTATCCACCATCTGGAGCTCCCGCCTTTATAGAGCAGAGGGAGGAGAAAGGTGTCTGGAAGTACACACTGATTGGTGGATTGGCTTTGGAAATGTTCATTCTGTAATTGGCCAGAGGGAAACAATAGACACCCCTCCCTTTGGCGTGTGCGTGCATGCGCGCGCGTGTGCCTGCTACCCCAGGATGGAGCACAAGTTTTTAATCTTTAATCTGTCATTCTCCCTCATTGTGAGACACACACATACACACACTATTAATCTTACAAATGCCATGTGTCAAAGCTACTTATAGGCCTAATAGAAGTATTCAGGTGTAAGCAACAAATTGCACTTTGTAAAAGTAAAAGCAGTCATTATGCAAAATGACTGCTTTCAGACTGAAGCATTGTATTGAATATAGGCATTTTATTGATGGAGCTGGTCCAGGTGCTGCAACTACTTTTAACAAAATTGGGTACCTGCAGCTACCGATTATCATATTCAATCAGTGCATCCATTTTGGAGTTTGTCATATACTTTAGTTTACTGTATTTTTATTGTTATCTAGTAACAGATATCCTGAGCAAAAGTTGGTTGAATTCAAGGATTAAAATTGCACAAAGTAGAAAGCAAAGTGCAAGTACTTCAAAATGAATGTAAAAACTATTTTAAGTATTGTAATTGACTGCTTAGTATTTTATTCAAGTACAAATCAGTAAGTAGTACCCATTGTTTTTTTGTTTTTTTACCAATTATTCTAATTAAGGTTTCATGTAGTAGAACCTTTTCAGTGAGACAACATGCACAATAGCAGCATCCTGACTCTGTTTGACCCGAATGGAACCTTAATTAGTGTCATTGATACCACCTGTGTTTACTATACTACTTTATGTCAAAATGGCTGCTGTGAAAAAGGTCTATTATTCCAATTAGCCTGATGTTGGTAGTTCAACTGATATACCACTACTACTTCTACAGCAGAAACTACTGTAACTATACTGATACTGCAATCACTACTGCACTACACCGCTGCTGCAGCTGCTGCTAACTTTGCTTCTTGTATAGGCTACTACTTCTATTACTGCTGCTTTGTTACTTTTACAATATTACTGTAGTAATAGTGCTAACAGCTATTATTATGCTATTTGGAGCTACAACTACTATTGCTTCTACAATTCACACTAATTTGAGCAAGTCTTTGTCTACTGGTATTGTTTTAATACAGCTTAGATATAAATATAGAAAGAGACAGAGTGACAGAGCGATGGAGAAAGGGGGAGGTACAGAAAGAAGGAGAAGGAGGGTAAAGAGCACAAGGATGGAGAGAGGGAGGGTGAACGAGGAAGGAGGGAGAGGGGGAAGAAGGAGAGACAGAGGACGGAGAGACAGAAGAAATAAAAGCAGGAGACAGGCGGGAGGAGTGGAGAAGGAAATTGGGGAGAGGTGTGTGGACAGATATGCCTATTTCAAGCATGTTTGCACACAGACTGAAGTTCAAACACATTCAGGGCGTGATATTTATTGGTTTAGTGACATTTTCATTATGTGTATCCATGTTCTTCAATACAAAACGATACAGATAACCCAGACAACAAAAAACATAAACATAAAAGATACATTTGAAAAAGGAAAATAAACACTGGTAGATTGTTTGAAAGATCTCTGATATTAAACGGATTAAGATTAAGAAAGCACATAAAGGAGTGGAGACAGCGGTGTGGTCTCTCCTCCCTCACCAACATGGCGGCCTATAGAGTCCGTATGGCGTCGCGATTGTTGAATATTTCCACTGATTGGTCAGTGAACTGGAGTGAACATAAAGCTGACGCTTTGCGGCCGGTGAGTGGCTGATACAGCTGACGATCAATTTCAGCAGGCTTATGAAAGCTTGTGGGGCGTTTGGCTGCAAGTAAAGGCAGGAGAGGATCTCAGGCAGGATGGACTGGCTGCTCCAATTAAATTAAATTCGTTGTACGAAAACATAAAAAGAAAGCATAAAAAATACATAAAATATATACAGAAATACAGAAATATCTCAGCAATTCACTCATTTCTGTGAAGACAAGTAAATCACTGAATTTTCAACAAAAAGAGAAGCCTATTAAGTATGTATGACTGTTAAAAATACTCTGAAAAACAAATAAAAAAACATAATATAGACTGGATTGTATACGAAGTTAATATCTGTTACTCCATCTACACTTCCTGGGGGTTGGGACCTCCAATAGGGTCGCCAAAACCTCATGCAGGGTCTCAAGGTCTTTTTGATTTTAGTTTGAGTATAAGAAAACCTAAATAATATTCACAGTATATTACTGTAATATACAGTGTGTAATATACACAGTATATTACATTTTATGCTGTAGTGTGTAATGTAATGTGTATACAGGGTGCCCAGGTGGTCATAATGCTCTTTATAATAATAAAATAATGCCCTCATAATAAGGGCATCACGGCAGTGCACAGGAGGTGGAACTGGCACCTGTCCACACTACATACTCCACTTGAATCGGAGACCCTCCGGTTCCCAACCCACATCCCTACAGACTGAACTACTGCTGCTGTAGGTTTGGAGTTGCTCAAATCTTCACACTTGCCCATTTTTCCTGATTCTAACACATCAGCTTAAGACCAAAATGTTCAGTTGCTGCCTGATATATCCCATTATATATTATATAAAAAGTTCCTAAAAATATCAGGAAAATTCATCTCCGACATATTAATATTTACAAGATACAATCCCCTCAAAATGCATTAAATATCATCTTTTACACAAACATCTTGCAGTTATTGTGTTCCCTATTTGGGTTCATTCTAAAGTTTATCAGATGTTTGGTGTTATTATTGTTATATTTGAAATATCCATAAAATATTTCAATTAGTTAGTTGATTAGAATTGATAGAAATGGACTCCTTAAAGGTCCAGTGTGTAGGATTTAGTGGCATCTAGCACTAGAGTTACAGATTGCACTTCCTCACTTCACCCCACCCTTCCAAGTGTGAAGGAGAAACTATTATAGCAAAAGGAGGAACAGAAATATTTCTATTTCTAGCTTTTATCACATTTTTTGGAAGTTGGAACAGCAAAAATGGTTGGCCATTTTGTAATTTATAGTCATCCAAGTTTGATCATTGATTGACTAAAAAGAAACGTAAAAAAGTTACTCAGTGGGGATTCTTTAAGATAAAACCCTCTATGGGGTCATAATATACACTGTGTAGCTGTGACAGCTCAGCAGCAGGGGGCAGCAGTGGACTGACAGTGGACACACTGAAATGTGAGCTTTTTAACTTTAACTCAGATTCAGAAAACAGCTTTCTTTCTTTCTTTCTTTCTTTCTTTCTTTCCACATTCACTTATTGTAACAAATAGCTGCTTGGTGTAAAGGTGTTCTCTGCTCTTCAAGCGCCCCAGTGTTCGCCCTTGCAGGTGTGGCTCAGAGTGGGTTGTCCACTAATCGAAAGGTTGTTGATCCCTGGCTCCTCCGGCTGCATGTCGAAATCCTTGAGCAAGATACTGAACCCCAAATCGCTCAAGATGCTTTGTCATCGGTGTCTGAATGTGCATGAATTACTTAGTTTCCGTTCGATGGACTTTGACATTGGTCTGTGAATGTGTGTGAAAGGGCAATTGTGGCATGTGTAATAGTGTGCAGGCGCTTTAAATGACTAAAATGGCGCTATACGAGTACAGGTCCATTTGATCAGGATATGTCCTTTAATGTCCTTTATAAAGCAAAATCTCTAGGACTGCCTTTTTTAATTTACGTAACATTACAAAAATCCGACACATCCT